GAACCCAGAGCTTGGTGGGGGAGAGCGCTCCAAAGCGAGGGTCAGAAAAGCAGTGAAAATGGGGTCTGGTGATGCGAGTGATGCAATGGACGCCGAGTAGTGCATCATTAGCATCATGAAGGGCTTTGGAGGCTATTTGGGCAATGGGCGTTGAGCACTCGAGTGGAGACAGGGGCCCAGGTACAGAGCAGACCGCAGCCGCACGTAGGATACGAGTTCCGTGGACAACCCGCAACCCGCCAAATACAAAGAGAACCGAAAGTGACACGAGTTCACCTCCATGTATTTGGACTGTATATACTATACTTGCACCATGTCCTCGGTCGAGTGACTGCTTCTCGCGGCGCCCACACGCGCCGCAAAATGTAAGTCCCCCGTTATGAGCCGGGACACCTGGACTTGTAAGACACTGGTTCTTCACCCCACTACTTTCCGTGCTGCGTTTCTATTGAAAGCCGCTTGTTTACTATTCGCCTGAGCCTGTTGTCCATGTACATTCAACTTCCAACAAAACCGCCGGCGCGAAGACTATTGGATCGCCTGCTTCGTCTTGCTCAGCCGGGTCCCAAACTTTGAAGATCTTTTTCTCCTTCGACTACCTAATCGCAAACTCCTCTCGCAGCCGAGCCCCGAACAAATTCGGGCAGCCTACACCTTGTTCATTCAGAATGAGCACGCCGCCCTCCGCTCCCTGGATACGACGTTACGACATCATAACACAAATCCTCACTCCTTTGCTAGCCCAAGCTACTCCCGCTGGACCTCCCCTTCTGCGCCGCGGGGTCAAAAGTCCGTGTCCCGCTGGCTAAGACGTGCCCGTTCACTCTTCCAAATCCACGAATGCCGCTTTTCGACGTGCCAGAGTACGCATTGCAAACTTCAATCGCTCCAAGTGTAACAAACACATAACTGCTTCTTTTCAAACGCATGCCGTACTCGCGCACGTGGTGGCCCTGACTATGGAGAAGGTCTTCCTGCGCGCGTGCGTGCGCGCACGTGGTATTCCACCACTCGAACTCAGACGGTATTTCCCCTTCGCTAACCCTGACTTCGCCTTCCATCTTCCATAAGATGCATACCCCCTTCCTGCGTGTGACAAACACATACCATTGCCTTGTGATGATGGCCTACACCAACATGCAACGTATCGCATTTCTCTTTCACTGTTTTTCATACCAAACTTATCCCAAAGCCGCCCGGCTTGCTTCTCTGCTCCCTCCATCACCATTATCATTACATACGCCCCCCCGCATCCGCGGCACCGACGCCTGCCAGAAAAAGAGGCACTCGTCTGGCGGCTGCTGGCTTTCGTCCCCCCCCTTCTCAGGTATATGTTCCCCTACAATTTGGGGAAACATATTGCACTTCATGGCAGGCCCAGCCAAGCAGACGGTCAAAGTCACGGAAACCCAAACGACCAGGCGAGCTGCCATGTTTTAAGCGTCAACTTGAGACAAGCACAATGAGCACCCCATTTACTGCTGAATGTCCAAGAAGGTCGAAATTTGTAGCTGCAGTCTGTTGTTTTTGCTGGTTGAACTGGCTTCTCCATTGGTGCATTCACCTATGGCATTTCCATGCAGGGGGAACTTTTATGCAATAGAGCGCAACGTGTGCACCAGACGACATAATTGGCTGACCTTTTTATAGGCTGTTGCGCCGGCGATCTCAACGACGAGGAGTCCTATTGTCATTTACCATTTGGATACTGAGAACTGAGACCAAAGGTTTACGGCCTGTTTTGCACAGGAGGGTAGCTGGTTGGTAAGGGGCCCAGCAGACAGAATCAAGAAACTGGACAGTCTTCTTGGGTTTGCTGGGCAGATGTTTTGCTGCAGACAAAAAGAGACTACAGAGACTGATTGATTTTGTTCAAAGGCATGAATATCCTTGTGGACTATCGTGGTGATAGCCATTCCGCCCTGCCGGAGTTCCGGCTTAACTTGCCCACATAAAGACTGCCACATCAGCGGCTGACTTGTAAGAATGTGGACTTTTCTTTATGGAGGAAGGCCGACCAGCTTTCTCCATCAGACGGTGTTGATCGCCCAATCGACTCAAAATAAAACAATAAACGCAGAGCACAAGGCTTTTGCAAGGGGGGCACAACAAGATTTGTGCACTGAAACAAAGACTCTCGTGGCCATGGATGCCACCCCGCGCACGAGAACTCCTCGCATGGTGCGAACCATTAAACCTGGCGAGGGCGTTGCCGACTCAGAATCTTTGTTTGTGGCTCGTTGACACCATCCAACCTGTTAGTAGCACAGAGTTTCAAAACCGTTCTCCCTACTTCGGAAACAATGGTGCAAGGTGCTGGCATGGAAAGTGGGAGTCTCAATCAAAGCTGTAGTTTTGCTCGACTCTTTTGTGATTGCAGCTGTTCTGTATGTTGTTTTGCAATGTTTTACTCATTTGTGCATTCTTTTTGTTTTTCGCTCTGAGGCGTACACGGACCGCAAGCAGCAGGACACGGTACTTCAGAGGTTCACAAATCCGGATTAAGTTTGTGGTCATTTTGGACATTTCAGTTTCTTCCTGTGAACTTTAGACCTGCTGTAGCCGTGTAGTGCCAGGACTTGTTGCACCGCACTGAATATTTGACCACCATTGTCTCTGCCACGTCTGAAGTTGAGGCTGTTCGCTTCCTTTCGGGTTTAAACTCTGGCTCCTGATAGCGTGTCGAATTTAATGATGGTGTTCTAATAGTGTGCGACTCATATACAGCGTGCAAGCTTATGGTGAATTTAAGTCCAAGGACTAGTCATCTCTTTGCGCTTCTTGTTCCTAATAGCTTCTTGTTCCTAGTAGTATGGCCAGGAGCCCCTAGTAGCGTCCTTGCTCCTAGTAGCGATGCCCTTTGCTCCTAGTAGCGTTTCCTTTTTTGCATGTTTGATCTCAAAAATTGAGTGTGCAGGTCCCTGCTGGAGAAGACCTACACAGCACACTGTTCTCTTCGATGGTACCTTGGGCTGAACTGCTGCCTGTATTTCTAGTTTGTCATGGCCAGCTCATGGCTCCCATGCAGAAGGTCTTGGATACCAAGATACCTTCTTGAGCGAATCTCATGTTTTTGACACGAGGTACCGGATGTGGTCTGCGTGGCAAGTGATGCACTTGGCCGATGCGGAAAAAAGGCCTGGTACAGGGTGAGTCGAGCATTAGTTGATACAGTTTGCTCTTGGGCTCTTTAAGCAATTGTCGTATTGTACCAACATTATACCTGCCCCCTCAGTGGTGGGATGCAGGTTAAGTGGGTAGCAGGTTATTTCAGGATTCTGTCCTGTGATGTGATTGACTGGTCAGATGATGAATATCTACTGTAGTAATGGACACGGATGATGGGGGCTTGCCTGTCATAAAACAAATTACACGATCGAATGCTGAACTAAGAAGATACATCCCATCATGAACTCGACCAAGGTAAGCGTTTCTTTGGAGCGGCAACAACCATGATCGTTTTCAAGACACTGCAGTTGTCAAGATTTGTCGTCATGACCCTGATGGTGATTGTGGTGATTGTGGTGATGTGGGAGTCCTCAGGTTGTTTCTACCGTAGTTCTTGAAGTCCTCTCTACATTCACCCTCTCGCAGGATGGCTCATCCTGGCGTGGGATGGTCAGCACCTTTGATGCCGAAGAAGTCAAGGAATTTGAGAGCACCTCTGGATTCAGTGAAGGATGTCTGTGCAGCTTTGGTGTTCCAGGTTTTATCGCAAGAGAAGCGCCGCTTCCCCCGTGCAGCTTGGCCTCAGCAGGTGACCGCACACACTCACCACAGATGACCACAGATGACCACGACTTGTCGACTTTTCTGAGCTGGCAGGCGTTGGCACAGAATACATACTTGCTTCAGATGGCCAACTCAGCCCGGGAGAATCATCGACCAGCTTGGGAGGCGGGTCATGTTTGCCTTCTTCGTCCAAACGTTTCAGAAAAAGGAACAAGATTGAAGTGCGTGACAGGCTGAGCGCCAAATTGGCCAAGTGCCTCATGTCCACCCAGCAAAGGCCTCAAGTTAGATAGAAGGTTCAGTCGAAGGTACGCAGTATCAAATCCCCTCCAAGTTTCAAGTTCTTTGGCAATGTGATGTGCAAAATGAGACCTTTCTTTGTATACGTGTTTCAATTGTTTTGTTTTTCCTCTTCAAGATTCAAGACATTGACATGGGGTCGAAGGCTTGCCTGTCTCCAAGGAAGATCGGGACGGTCATAGCTCCATCCAGTTGCAAGGGCATCAAGCACTTCAGGCGAATGTGCGTTTGTTGGCTTTGGCCCACAGCTGAATAGCTGAATGCAAGCAGTCAAACTGAGACCGGTGAAGCTTGCAATGGGAGCGGTACTGCGCCCTGTTGGTGGACCGGTTTGCCTGCGGACTGTTTGTCAATGTTTGTCCTTAAGGCAGAAAGGGGAGGAGTTCGGAGATCCAGGAAGGGGAACACAGGAAGGAAGTCAGGCCTGCAAAGGGAAGAGTGCCCAAGGAGTGAGGTCAAGGAGGATTTTGAATGGTGCCGCTTTGACTTCTGCTCTCTTTACAGTATGTGCCCCTTTGCCTTGGGCCGCTGGGCTGTGGCCGCCGTGGCTGTGTGCTTAGAGGCTTAGAGTCTTTTCGCTCGTGGTTGTCTTAAGGTTCCTGAATATGTGACACTGGTGGCTGTCAGCACACTTGCTCTCTTTCCGTTGCTCTTACCACTGTGCTGAGTTTGCGGCTCCGCTTCGTGTGCTGTGCAAGGAAGGACATCCCTGATCTGCAGGACTCGTGTTGGCATATGACACGGATGCTGGAGTCTCGGTCGAGAGATCCCGGACCCGTGACCCACGCAGGACTTGCTGTACCTGATCCATGTCAACTGCAACCATGAGTTTTGGAGTTGAGAAAACAATATGATTGCCTAAACTCAACATCAACAGTCCTCTACAGTACTTAGTTCTGCTGTTATGTTCAGCAAGACTTCTTGAACATCTTGCTGCAACATGAAGAAAGATGCACACGACATTCTTGATGCAGGTACAGCACAACAGGGCAGAACATCGAATACATTCCAACCTCCTCAAGGCCAAATTCCATACATTTTGCTAGACCCCTGAGAACTGCATGAACTTCAAGGAGAGGGAATTGATCGAACCCCTTCAAACTTTTCACAAGCTGGTCCGTGATCTTGCTACAGATTTTACTCTAATCATGCTGACTTGACTTGTTGCACTTTGGAATGAGTTTTGCGACAGCAATTATACCTTCGCTCCAGGTCAAAGCAGTCCCAGGGCTTCACCTAGAAGCACTACAAACGGATCATCACTCCACTGAAGCTGCGCGACAGAAGAGGCGCGGAACCTCAAAGAGGTTGAATACCAAACAGGTTGTTTTGCCCTTCGGTTTGGCAAAACACCGTCAACAAAACATGCGGTTTAGCAATATCTCCGAACACGGAGCCTGGAGGAGTAGTCCAGCGGGAGCCTGGAGGCTAGTATGATTCTGGCCCCAATGTCTCATGCAAGCTGTGACTGTTGATGGTGCGGCCCAGCTGATTCGCTCTGAAAAGCCGTGCATTTCAAGGACTCTCAAATGCCGCTCTTGATTTCCCAAAACATGTTTTTGCCACGAGGTTTTGCTGCTAATGCGAGAGGAAGAGATTTGACACGCAGCAAAGATGTAGTCACCTACTGCATAATTCCAACAGCATGGCGAAGGGGTTCTTGATGAGTTGATCTGACGGCTGGATACGGCTGGTGGATGGACACATCAGTCAAGCTTGATTCCCAACCAAAACTTCACAAACTGTTTGACAGGGAGGCCACTCTAGACTACCAACATTGCAAATTGCTGCCATCCACTCAGTCGCCAAATCTTAGAAATGGGACGAAACATGGTTGCAGCTGTGTCAACATTCGCAGTTGTCTGTACAGAGGAGTCCCTACAGAGCTCATCCCAAGTCTCCGACACGTTTTGGGTTCCGTTCGTTTGGCCTCGCACACGGGGTAGACGAGACACGTCCAGAGAAGCAGTCGAGAGGACGGGTTTGGCCCGTTTGGCAGGCAGCAGTCAAGCTGCAAGGTGGTTTTCTGCAAGGAGGTGGGTTCATTGAATACAGAGTGAAGAGCCTAAACGCACAAGGATTTGTGTAGTCAAGTAGATCTGCGAGGTTGGAACTGGAATTGTGTGGTGGAGGGTTGATTATGTGGATGCCCGTGTTTTCTTCAGTCCTTTCGAGGTGGGCGGGCCAGATGGCTTGCAAGACATTTCCAACCCAGAGATGCGCTTCGCACGCTTCTTCAGTGCCTTGATGTATCATGGTGCACCGAAGGCGCTCAGCTGCAGCTTGCTTGTGACCAAAGCTTTGCGTTGCTTGTAGTTCTTTGATGTTCTTTGCTTGTAGAACTTGTCTCTCAACTTGGTCACCTCGAGTTGCACAGAATGGCGCAGACCAAGCTGCCTCAGCGTTTTCTGACATCAGGCCACGGTGAGCCAGTTCGTTCGTATGGATGGCATGGACTTGGGCTCAACGCATCTTAGCTGAAATGAGTTTGTTCCAGAGGAATCCTGAAAAAGACACCGGTGAGGCTTTTTTAGTGGACTTCTCCCAATTGCCTCCTTATGATCGTGTTTCTCGTAAGGTTCAAGTTCTCCATCTTGGAGGGTGGCAAGTGTGTTCGGCGAGAGGAGAGGCTGCCAAGGAAGACCATGGCACCCCTGCCCAATTTGACAAGCAAACAGACTTTTCTGTGTGCTAGTCTTTTTCCGCTCATCCACTCTGGATTAATCGCAGCGATTGTTGTGAAAGTAGCACTGTGCCATGTTTTTTTCTTTGGCTTCAGGTAATTAAGTGGTTCTATTCTGCAATAGACAGCAGATTCAAAGCTGATCACTTGACAAACCGTCTTCGCAAAGTCCAACTTGTGCCAGCCTCCGGCCATTGTGGGCTCTTTGGAGCCAGCACCGGCTGCGTGCTCGAGTGGCGTCCGATTCGGAACTGATGCTACATGTAGATCCGAAAAAATATTTCAATTATAGAGGAGATGTTCAAGAAAGCTTAGCAAGCATTAGCATCGCTATATACAATAATCAAGACCAAAAACTGGAGATGTACTCGAGAGTCGCAGTGTTCGATTGCTGAGGGCTGAGAACCAATTGGTGTTTCTTGACATCACAAACGCGAATGAACAGCAACAAGAATGCTACTAGGCGCTCCTCGCAACGCTACTAGGAGCAAGGATGCTACTAGGGGCTCCTGGCCTTACTGCTCGGCCAGCTGAGGTCTTTGCAAACGGGCACTACTTCGAGGTGACTGTGGCAAGCCTTTTTCAGTCCGTCAGCTCAGCTGACAGGCAGGTCCGAGTTTCAAATGCGACTGATCGTCCAATGTCACCTGAATATTATCATGTTGACTTCATTCTCCGATTTCCAGATGAGTTTCATTCTCCTACATCCTACATCGTGCCAAATTGCACGAAGCTCTTGAACTTGCGTGCTTTGGTTCACCAAACAGTCTGTTTTGACTTCGACAATCAGAATCAGGTGGGCCCAAATCAGTTCAGGACTTTTCTTGATACCACACCCCCCCCCCACCCCCAACAGCTCCCCACTGTCGTTGTTGCATATCACACGAAGCTTTCAAAATCTAGCAGAGCCCACCGGTGACTCTTTGGTATCCTCAGCACGAAATTTCAGTTTAAATTTTCAGCGAGCAGAAGTCCAAATGCGTTTTGTTATGCTCAGCCAGAAGTTTCAAATTCAGCGTGTTCAAAGCTCAGAATCGGCACTAACTACATGGGGATCAGAACGCCTTTTGGCCATGCTCAGCAAGAACAGAGTTGGAGAATGCCTTGTGAAAGCATCAAGTTGGAGAAGAGAGAAACAGTCAACAAGGACGCTACTAGGGGCTCCTGGCCTTATTACTAGGAACAAAGGACGCTACAAACGGAGCAAAGGGCCACGCTACGAACGGGGCTCCTTAGTTGACTTCGGTGCTTCGGTGCAGGCCCAAAGTCTCCGAAATTTATGGTCGAACTGCAGGCGTGGCACAGGTGTGACTGGTGATTCTGACCATCCTGGGAACTTGATATCTTCCAAAGGGGAGGGAGCTTGAAGTGTGTGGTTTGCATTCTGCATTCAACTGTTGGAGTACGAAGTAGATGACGCACGAAGGAATTGAAAGAAGTAAAAGTAGACTGCGTGTCCATCTTTCAATTGAACCGCGGCTTCACAACGAGTGATGGGCAGGTCTGGTCTTGGGGTTCAAGGCTGCAAGACCAGATGAGGGGGATGAGCAGGGCTGCCCGAGAAGGAAGGATCGTGGGTGTTGCCCTTGTGCCCGGCAATTGACGTTTTTATTCCCTTTACAGTAAGTATAAGTCTGTGCATGTGTCTCTCGCTCTCGCTCTCGCTCTCTCTCTCTCTCTCCCTCTCTCTCTATCCTCTCTCTCGCTCTTGTACATCTCTGTGATGCCGATCTCGGGTGGACTTCTTTGCTTGTTCTCTTTCCTCAATGGTACATGTTACTGTACATATTGCACAACACGGATTGACTCAGTTTGCTACACTAACCTTGAGATATTTTTTTTCAGTGCTTTGGTTGTACTTAGTCCGCATCTCCCTTGCTTGTGTTGAAGACTGAGGTTGGCCAAGGATCTTTCCTCCGTCGCAGATTCCTGGTGCATTTCTTCAAATGGGCGCGACACCCATCTGCTTTGCTTGAACAATTTCATTCAGGAAGTGTCAAACCTTCACCCGATTGTTTGCGCCTTCATTAAGGTGGTTCTTCACCCAACAGGGCCAACCAAATCCGCAGCTGCTGCGACCCAGTAGCCAGGCGCTTTTCGGGGCATTTGTTTTCATCGGCTTGAAATGCCAGTTGATTATACTTGCAGGAAATCCCTTCGGCCAAAACTGAGGAATCAGGGAATCCTTCACACCCTGGGAGCCATGATGCCTTTTGCGACATCCACTTCCGAAGAAACGATGCCATTTAGAAAACACAATTTGCTACTTTGACTCTCGTCCATATTTCGAGTACCTAGTTCGAGAAGCGCTAAGCTAAGGTGAACACCACACCACTGAAGTGTGAAAACTAGGCTTCATTGCAAGGCAAAGACGGGTGATCCCTTGTGGGCCTCCCAAATCTGGGCCACGGGGACGGCTTTCCTTGAGTCCAGGAACCAGTTGCTAGAAGCTAACTTAGCCTAGTAGCTTACCTCCTTACTTCAAGAAAGTAGGCGCCTACTTCATCAAGTAAGGATGCAGGGTCACGGGCTTTAAAGACAACGGTACGTCCTTCATTCCGTTTCGTGTCACGTCCTTCTCAGATGCGGGCGACGCCAGAGATCCGACCGACCTGGCACCGGAAACGAGCTCACAGCGGCTTGCAGCTCAGGCGACACGGAGTTGAAGTTCCGTCTCCAAAGTGGGACTGATCGTCTCAGATCCCATTTGAAGAAATGGTTGGCGGCGTTTGCGGTTTTCAATTTTTGAAGCTGGCAGGTGCCATTGGCCACCACCATCCAAAGGGCCTGGCTCTTTGGCGCGGCAATTTGATTGGCCCTTAGCACTGGCGGTTTAGTCCAGATCAGAAACATCAATCTAGGATCCTAGGATTGGTTGGAAGATTCAGCCAATACACTTTGGACGTTTCTTTTTGATTTATACTTATCCAACAGCGGGTCTTCAGCCATAGTAAAGACTTCGGAGCAGATCGGAGCATGTCCCGAGCAGGTTCCAGAGCAAGGTGCGGAGCAGGAAGCTCCAGACAGAGCAAGTTTCAGAGGAGGTGCCGGAGCAGGTTCCTGAACAAGCTCTGGAGAAAGCTCCAGAGCAAGTTCCGAAGCAAGTTCTGGAGCGGGTTCCAGAGCAGGTTGCCGTGCAGTTTCGAGAGCAGTAAAGGAGCAGGTTCCGGAACAAGTTCCGAAGCAAGTTCCCGAGCAGGCTGCGGAGCAGCTTCCGGAGCAAGTCTTGGAGCAAGTTCCAGAGCAAGTTCCCGGAGCAGGTTCCCGAGCAAGTTGTGGAGGTGCCGGAGCAGGAGATAGCAGAGGAAACCCCGAGCTTTCGGAGCAGGTGCTGGGACAAGTTCTGGAGCGCTGGGCCGTTTCTCTGAGGTGTTGCCATATTGTCATGCTGGTCGGCTGGTCGGGTCACGCTGTCGCGCTGACCTGATGGCAGGCTCCAAAGTGGGCTCCGGAGAATGTTTACTGGTCTTGCTTGCAGTGGCGTTGTCGTGCTTGCGCACATGATATGTGCTATGCGAACGTATTGCTAAATTTGGTATGGTTGCGTGGCAGGTTACAAAGGTTCACGCAGTTGAGGACAGCCTTGTCTGGCAATGACACCCACTTGTTGGTGAACTTGTGATGGTGCCACTGCCCTGTAGGTGGATTTTGATGCCCAGTTGTTGGGGATTTGTTTTGGGTCTATGTTTAAATATTCTATGCTCTGATTGGAGTGCGCTTTGGCCAAGGATTGGTCAGTGGCCCTTCAGGAGGGCGACGTCCTGGGGCTTCTGGTGGGGGACCCAATGGGAGCGTCTCCATGCACTCTGGAGTTTCCTTTTTTTTGACGCAGGACATGGATGTGGGAGGTGCGCGTCCTTTTGTTTTCGGCTTTTGTGCACTGTGTACGGTCGTTTTCGGCTCGCTTGGAGAAACCTTGTGTGGTGAAAACAACTTTCGGAACTGATTCAAGTCTCCAGTCAAACGTTTGAATTCGACCCTCCTTGAAATTTATCAGCTGTTTTTGTCATTATCATTGTTTGATTTTTTTCAGCTCGTTTGGTGGGCCATACAGAGAATTCTGAGCTCTTGCTTGCTTTCCCTAACGCCAAGGCCTTGCCAAGCGGAGCCTTGGTTCTCACCGTGAATGGCAGCAGAGAGTTCATGGTGGCAGATGTCCTTCGGCAAGGGATGTTGAGCTGCAAGGGATGTTGTCCCATCCTTTCAATGTTTCTGATAACTTGGCAAACTTTATGCCTCAACTAGGCTAGGCGCTGGTGGGGTGGCTGGACTCATCTTTCATGTGGGGCCTGTCCCAGCCTGACATGGTTCCTTTGGTAAACTGATTATATAATCTAGTGATTTTTGCAGGGACCAACTGGAAGAATGCGATTGTTAAAGAACTACAATTTTGTATGATTATGATTCCCAAACAGCTGGACATTTCTGCAAATATGGTCAGAGAACGGTAGAATTGGGACAAGTATTGTTAGGGCCTGGTGTTTGGCACAAGCACAAGATAACTCACAAGCTCATATGTACACAGGCCATCATGGGCCTCTATGCCACAACATCAGAATATTCCTTCATGGAAAACTCTTCCCGACCCAGGCAGGTGTTGCTTCTGACCGCTTCTTGTATCCCATCGTACAGGCTGGTTGTGGGGGTATGTTTGCAGAGAACGGTCTTGCTCAGCTCTTGAAGAGGTGGGCAACCATGTCAGATCAATCAAGCTTTGTCCAGCAGTCTGAGCCTGAAGCTGGTTGATCCTAGTAGGTCCTAGTATGCTAGGAAAAGGGACACAAAGCTGCGTTAGTGGAAGCTTTTGGTTTTTATCTCTCAAACTCATTTCAGGAAGATACCCTAAACAGGGTTAAGTAGAACAAGAGAAGGGTGACAAATTGAACATCTGCACTCTAGAGCACGCACTTGAGAGCACAGGTAGAGCACGCCTATGAGAGCACAGGGAATGTGAGAGCAGGGGTGAGAGCGCACATGTGAGAGCGCACATATGTTGCAAACGTATGAGAGCTCACACATGAGAGTGCAGGTATTTGAGAGCACAGACTTGAAAGCACACACACACACACACACACGCCCGTAAGCACACTTTGAGGTTCACAGGTTGCTGCGCCTGCCACGAAAACCGCACTTTGCGGTCCATAAACTGCTGCTGCGTATCGGCCAGGGAAGGCAATTGTTGGAGTTTTTTGCATCTGCAAACGCATGCAACTCCAGATCGCGTAGGCCCCACAATTATGCTTCGCAAGAGCAGCATGCGTAGTACGGACAAATATATCCAAAACATGTTTTTGCATTTTCTTGTTCCAAACAGTTTGCAGAACTTGGGGCGATCTGTCTCCCAATTTCAAGAAACGAAGTCCAAGTCCAAGGTTCACGATTCTCTGCACCTGGCTCACAACAATCAGAGCATGCCAAAGACCGCTAAGTCAAAGTCCAAAGTGCTGCGCCTGCTAAGAAATTTGCACATTGAAGTACAACTGCTCCTATCTCCCTTGCCTGCCACGAGAAAAGTCGACTTCAGACACCTGTCACGAAAAATGACCAAGTCTGAAAATGTGCACAGCGCCTTTGCGAGTTTGCGCAGTCGAATGCACTTCGAAGATCTCGAGAGGTGTGAAGGTGCTGCAAATGGCAGCGCCTCAGCCACAGATGCCGGTCAATCAAACCCAAAGCCTAAACCATTGTTGTAAGAACCTCCAACGTTTGTGCATGCGTAATGTGTGTCCATCAAGGGTTGTTGCAGCTTGCAAATTCATCCCATGGTGTCCCTTCAAGCACTACTTGTCAGAAAGAGCCTGAGGTCGAGCCGCCTGAATGAGTGTCGAGAGACAACCTCTTCACGTTCGGCTACACACATGCTCTAGGTTACTAGATGCACTGTTTCGCAGAGTTTCACCTGTTCATAGATTAGGGGCTTCTGAACTCGTGCGAATCCATAGAACAAACAACAAGTTGATTATGCAGGGCTCAGTGGTGTATTCAGTGGCCTCGCTTTCAGTGGCATGCCCGTGCGTTGCGCGCTGTGCCTGTGCAGCAAAGCTGCAGCCCACAAAGTTTGGGTGGGACACTGGTAGTTGAAAACTCCAAGAATTTCATTGGAGACCATTGCTTCTAGGTTGGAGGCCATGGTTATTAGGTTTCAAACGGTTTCAAAACACATTTTCAGAGTTCTTGTTGTGCAAGCAGGCCCTAGCACTCCCTCTCGCTCCAAGGTGCCGGTGAAGCGCCGTAATGCTGAAGCCGCGAGCGTGTCTTGGAGGAGTTTGGAGGGTGAATCTGACTGTTGAATTGACACTACTCTGGAGGGGGCATGGTGGGATAAGGATTTAATTCGCGAATTTCGTGTTCCGCGCACTTCGTAGGTCAAAGAAAAGAAGATTCGATTGGAGGTTCAGCTGCCTGGGCCACGGCTGCACCCTCCTCAGACATTACATCGCCAAAATGGTTTTCTTCAGAATAGGTTTCCTTCAGAATGTACGGGATGGGAAGCTTCAAGAGCTGTTGTGGTTGGTTCAGCATTCATCCAGATCTTGTGAGACGGTCCATGGATGGATGGATGGACGGACGGACGGACGGACGGATGGATGGATGGATGATAGCACCACGAGGCGCAGCCTTGCGCCGAGCCAGGAGAGCATGAGCAAGCTGGAATCTCAAGAATGACCATCGCAGAGGTTTGCTTCGAGTCAGGACGATCCAAGCGGCAATGCTCATATAGGTTTGCTTCGGAAGCCGCTTCAGAGAGTTCGGAAGCAAGAGTTTGATGAGCGATGCCGCAGCGATGCCTCACTGAGGAAGCAGCTCACCCTAGCTCAGGCCTGGAAAGGCCTGGAATTTTGTCCTGCACTTTCTGCGGATCTATTTTTCTCTTTAATAGCCCGCTCACCCCCCTCCCTACTTAATTAAGTAGGCTAGTAGCGGCTAGTAGTTGAAGTAGCTACTACCTAGGACGCAGGATAGCTCACGCTTCCTTGAAGAAGCGCTCGCACTAATGATTTGGTTCCTAGATCTTTAGGAAAACGTCACATTATTCTTCAGGTCAGATCTCAATGCCTAACGAGCTGATCGTCGAGGATAGCTATGTTGAATGAAGTGCACGAGACTTGAGACTCGTCGAAGACTCTCCACATCCCGGGCGCTTGTCTTGGCTTCGACCCAGTTTGGACGC